GGCAGTGCCCTATGTTGTACGTCTCACCAAACAGGCAGTGCCCTATAGTGTACGTCTTACTAAACAGGCAGTGCCCTATGTTGTACCTCCCACCAAACAGGCAGCGTCATATGTTGTACGTCTCATCAAACAAGCAGTGCCCTATGTTGTACGTCTCATCAAACAAGCAGTGCCCTATGTTGTACGTCTCATCAAACAAGCAGTGCCCTATGTTGTACGTCTCATCAAACAAGCAGTGCCCTATGTTGTACGTCTCATCAAACAAGCAGTGCCCTATGTTGTACGTCTCATCAAACAAGCAGTGCCCTATGTTGTACGTCTCATCAAACAAGCAGTGCCATATGGTTTACGTCTCCCCAAACAAGCAGTTCCCTGTGTTGTACGTCTCACTAAACAGAAAGGGTGGTATGTTGGATGTTAGACTACTTAGTCGGTGGCTTATGTTGTATGTTAGACTACACAGTCAGTGGCTTATGTTGTATGTTAGACTACTTAGTCGGTGGCTTATGTTGTATGTTAGACTACACAGTCAGTGGCTTATGTTGTATGTTAGACTACTTAGTCGGTGGCTTATGTTGTATGTTAGACTACACAGTCAGTGGCTTATGTTGTAGGTTACACTACAAAAGCAGTGACTTATGTTGTATGTTACACTACAAAAGCAGTGAATTATGTTGTATGTTACAATACAAAAGCAGTAACTTATGTTGTATGTTACACTACAAAAGCAGCGACTTATGTTGTATGGTACACTACAAAAGCAGTGACTTATGTTGTATGTTACACTACAAAAGCAGTGACTTATGACAGTTCTGATATTGATTCTGTCTGTGGGTGAGCAGATGGCTGATGAGATGGATTGTATATGTGGGTGAGCAGATGGCTGATGAGATGGATTGTATCTGTGGGTGAGCAGATGGCTGATGAGATGGATTGTATCTGTGGGTGAGCAGATGGCTGATGAGATGGATTGTGTCTGTTGGTGAGCAGATGGCTGATGAGATGGATTGTGTCTGTTGGTGAGCAGATGGCTGATGAGACCGATTGTGTCTGTTGGTGAGCAGATGGCTGATGAGACGGATTGTGTCTGTTGGTGAGCAGATGGCTGATGAGATCGATTGTGTCTGTGAGTGAGCAGATGGCTGATGAGACCGATTGTGTCTGTGAGTGAGCAGATGGCTGATGAGACCGATTGTGTCTGTGGGTGAGCAGATGGCTGATGAGACCGATTGTGTCTGTGGGTGAGCAGATGGCTGATGAGACCGATTGTATATGTGGGTGAGCAGGTGGCTGATGAGACATTGTGTCTGTGGGTGAGCAGATGGCTGATGAGACCGATTGTGTCTGGGGGTGAGCAGATGGCTGATGAGATGGAGTGTATCTGTGGGTGAGCAGATGGCTGATGAGATTGATTGTGTCTGTGGGTGAGCAGATGGCTGATGAGATGGATTGTGTCTGTGGGTGAGCAGATGGCTGATGAGATCGATTGTGTCTGTTGGTGAGCAGATGGCTGATGAGACGGATTGTGTCTGTTGGTGAGCAGATGGCTGATGAGATCGATTGTGTCTGTGAGTGAGCAGATGGCTGATGAGACCGATTGTGTCTGAGATTGTGTCTGTGGGTGAGCAGATGGCTGATGAGACCGATTGTATATGTGGGTGAGCAGGTGGCTGATGAGACATTGTGTCTGTGGGTGAGCAGATGGCTGATGAGACCGATTGTGTCTGTGGGTGAGCAGATGGCTGATGAGACCGATTGTGTATGTGGGTGAGCAGATGGCTGATGAGACATTGTGTCTGTGGGTGAGCAGATGGCTGATGAGACCGATTGTGTCTGTTGGTGAGCAGATGGCTGATGAGACGGATTCTGGCACGACATTGTCTGGTTTTTATTAGGTGCAGACCAAGCCCGGACTTAGAATTGTTGAGGCCCTCAGCTGTAAAGTGTCTAAATGCCCCTCCCTCCACCGGATTCAATTACATCAGGTGGTCAAAGAAAAAATCTCAAATCTAGCGCCCTTTAAATCTTAGTTCAGTGATGCACCGAGTTAATAATTTTGTTGAAAACTTTTCGAAAACCATCAATCAAAGCAGAAAGTATGTTTGTAATACACACGGTTATGTTTAAAGAAATACAGGGGAACCTCTCATAACAAGCACCTCTCATAACGAGCAAAAAAAAATGTGAAGAAGTTGCTCCCTTATCGAGCGACATTCCGCATAACGAGTTACGCAGAAAGGGGAAGTCCCTTTTTCCCCCGACATTCATTTGTGAGCCGGTACTTGGGAATGAGTGACCAAAAGGACTCTCACTTCTGCTTGGAAAAAAACGTTGGCCAGAGAGTGTTGTTGAATGTGTTTTTGAAACAGTACCTGTGGAGTCTGCAGTTAACGAGATTGTGTCATTGGCCAATATCATGGGACTCGAGGTGGACAACAACGATATTGAAGAGCTTTTGAAAGAGCACAGTCAAGAGTTGACCACCGAAGAGCTTATGGAGTTGCATCGTGTTTCATAGCAATAAATTATGGAGGAGAGCTCATTAATGGAGGAGGAAGTAGCAGAGCAACAATCTTCTAGCGCAATAAGAGAAATGCTGAAAGCATGGGAAACTGTTGCAACTGAAGCATCACCCTAATAAGGAGGTGGCTATTCGTGCTACAAATTTATTCAATGATAATGCTGTGACACATTTTCGTCAAATTTTGAAGCTTCGGCAAAAACAAAAGTCTTTAGACAGTTTTCTAGTTAAAAGTATTGATTATTTGTCATAAATTCATATTTTTATTTACGTTTTTTGTTTCAAATCTAAATTGTATTCCAAGTTGTTACACTCCTTAACAATTCATAAATAATTTTATTTGAATAAATATTAATAAAAAAAATTGAAAAATTAGTATTTTTTCCGCATGGAACGCATTATCGTATTTCACATTGATTTGTATGGGAAAAATTGTTTCGTTTAACGAGTGTCTCGCTTAACGAGTAAGATTCTGGAACGAATTATGCTCGTTATGAGAGGTTCGACTGTAGTTGCAATGAAAAATTAAAGGAACCTAGAGGCTGGGGTCAAACATAGTACAAACATAGACAAAGAGCATAAGAAAACATAGGAGTGGCAACACCGGAAAGAACAGGTGATCGGTTAGTGTTGTGATTCACCCTGATATTCTCATGATAATTTAGCCGCTCCATCAGACGGTTGGGACAGCATTAAATTGATAGAGACCAGAGCTCAGCTACCTTTTTTCCACCACTCCAGGCCTTTCCAAAGATTTCGAGGTGCAGCCCAGACCTTTCCGAGAATTCCGAGGCACACCGCTCAGCCCTCCCCAAGGAGTACAAGGTACACCCCAAGGCCTGTCCAAGCATTTCGAGGCACACCCCAAGGCCTGTCCAAGCATTTCGAGGCACACCCCAAGGCCTGTCCAAGCATTTCGAGGCACACCCCAAGGCCTGTCCAAGCATTTCGAGGCACACCCCAATGCCTGTACAAGCATTTCGAAAAGAGTTTTACATGCCTGTGTATTTCATCCTCTTGAAGGCATTTTTTTTTTTTTTTTACGCGGCACACCTGACCTCATCTTGCGGCACGCCGGTCACGGATCTCTGGTTTGAGATGATGGGGGAGACCTGTCTGTGCAAAAAACAATGGCCCACCGCTGCTCAATAGAACATCAAATTATTTTACAAACAGTCTATGTTATTTATCTCCCTTGTTATATAATTACACCCCCTTTCAAACCTTCTTCCACTGCTAGCAATTACTTTACGTGCCTTAAACACGTTTGATCTTTAAGACAAACGTCTTGGAACTCAGGACAGACCCAAACATTTCAATTCAGCCATCCTTCAAGTTGTGTGCAGTAAATCTCTATAACGACCTATAAATAACTGAGCTTAGAAATTGATATATAACATTAGAGGGACACACATATCCCCCCCCCCCAAGTGTTTTTTATATTACCTGAAGACATTTTGATATCGGAGTGGCTATTCGTACCCGGTTACGAGAAGTGAGAGGTTGGGATTTAAAAAAAAAACAACTATTTAAAATATTATTGTTGGGTTTGTAAGACAAAATGAGGAATCAAATGAAAGATAATTGGATGGACTGTTCTTCAGTTTAAATACAGTAAACTACCACAAATGACATCCGAATAGCATTGAGTCAAAATGGACCCGGACACGCAGCGCTGCCATTCGCACCCGGGTACCATTAGACTCACTGCTATTCGGATGTCATTTGTGGTAGTTTATTTAATTAAACTGAAGAAGTCGGTTTACAAAGATACAGTCCATTCAATTATCTTTCATTTGATACCTCATTTTGTCTTACAAACCCAACAATAATGTTTTTAATAGTTTTTTTAATCCCAACCTCTCACTTCTGGCACCCGGGTGCGAATAGTCGCAGCCTTTTTATATAGAAACGTTAGTGGATTGCATGGATTACGACACACTGGACATGAATTGTTGCAGTTTTGAAGATAAAATTTTCTTTGTATAACTACTACGATGTAAAAAAAAAAGTAACTCCTGCAAGTGTAATTGTACCCCTTCCCCCTTTTGGAATAAGGGTGAGGGTGGTGGGGGGGTGGTGGAGGGTGAGTGTTCGCCCCGCACATGTTCGCCCCTCAGCACCTAAAAGAAATGTTTTGTTTCGTATTGTATACAATGTTTTGAATAATGTATGGTCTATGTTTGATGTGCATACAGGTTTTGTGGTTTCCCTGAGTGACAAGGCGGCTCATTGAAAATCGCCCGGGGGCGAGGGAGGGACTTAACACCCCCCCCCCCGGCGTTTAAACCCCCTCATATTTTGACATCCCATTTCGATATAACCCCCTGGCGATGCACTATATTTCAAAGCTGGTTTTTTGGGGGGGTTGGGGGGGGGGGGTCTATTCAATTAAGCTGTCGAAAAGAGGATATTCCAAAATGATTTACGTAACGATGCAATCTGAGGACCACGTGTTTGGAAATAACCAATGAGGACAAAGAACATCAGCTGACTGACTGCGTCATAGGACTGCATCACTTCTGCGTTACATTCGTTTCTACATCGCGTGGTAACAACAACAACAACAAGCAAAACTATGGCCCCGTTTAACATGCTTCTTTTTCTTTTACTGTTCGCCGCCTGCTGGACTGTTCTAGAAGGTAGATTATGTACATTCTATATAAAACATTTTCAAAACCTAAAGAAGTATTTGTACAAATTATTTGTAGTGCAGCTGCCTGTAATTGTGCATCCCGCTAGTACAGTTGCCTGTAATTGTGCATCCCGCTAGTACAGTTGACTGTAATTGTGCATCCCGCTAGTACAGTTGACTGTAATTGTGCATCCCGCTAGTACAGTTACCTGTAATTGTGCATCCCGCTAGTACAGTTGCCTGTAATTGTGCATCCCGCTAGTACAGTTGCCTGTAATTGTGCATCCCGCTAGTACAGTTACCTGTAATTGTGCATCCCGCTAGTACAGTTGACTGTAATTGTGCATTCCGCTAGTACAGTTGCCTGTAATTGTGCATCCCGCTAGTACAGTTGACTGTAATTGTGCATCCCGCTAGTACAGTTGACTGTAATTGTGCATCCCGCTAGTACAGTTGACTGTAATTGTGCATCCCGCTAGTACAGTTGCCTGTAATTGTGCATCCCGCTAGTACAGTTGACTGTAATTGTGCATCCCGCTAGTACAGTTACCTGTAATTGTGCATCCCGCTAGTACAGTTGCCTGTAATTGTGCATCCCGCTAGTACAGTTGCCTGTAATTGTGCATCCCGCTAGTACAGTTACCTGTAATTGTGCATCCCGCTAGTACAGTTGACTGTAATTGTGCATCCCGCTAGTACAGTTGACTGTAATTGTGCATCCCGCTAATACAGTTGACTTTAATTGTGCATCCCGCTAGTACAGTTGACTGAGAATTACGTATCTTTCAGTAGTTCTTAACCGGTGTTCCCGGAAAACTTGATCCACATTTTAAGTGACAGTGACAGCAGGAAGTAGTGACAACGATGGTGAAATCACAACCGAAAGAGTTAGTTTACGAATATATATCAAATGCAACATAGCCACAATCTAACATATATGCTAATTGGCCACATGTAATAGATAGGCCAGTTGGCCACGTGTAATAGATAGGCCCATTGATCACATGTAATAGAGGGCTAATGGGCCACATGTAATAGATAGGCTCACTGGCCACATGTTATAGATAGGCTAACTGGCCACATGTAATATATAGACTAACTGGCCACATGTAATAGATAGGCTCAATGGCCACACGTAATAGATAGACTAACTGGCCACATGTAATAGATAGACTAACTGGCCACATGTAATAGATAGACTAACTGGCCACATGTAATAGATAGACTAACTGGCCACATGTAATAGATAGACTAACTGGCCACATGTAATAGATAGGCTCACTGGCCACATGTAATAGATAGGCTCACTGGCCACATGTAATAGATAGACTAACTGGCCACATGTAATAGATAGGCTAACTGGCCACATGTAATAGATAGGCTAACTGGCCACATGTAATAGATAGGCTCACTGGCCACATGTAATAGATAGGCTAACTGGCCACATGTAATAGATAGGCTAACTGGCCACATGTAATAGATAGGCTAACTGGCCACATGTAATAGATAGGCTCACTGGCCACATGTAATAGATAGACTAACTGGCCACATGTAATAGATAGGCTAACTGGCCACATGTAATAGATAGGCTAACTGGCCACATGTAATAGATAGGCTAACTGGCCACATGTAATAGATAGGCTCACTGGCCACATGTAATAGATAGGCTCACTGGCCACATGTAATAGATAGGCTCACTGGCCACATGTAATAGATAGGCTAACTGGCCACATGTAATAGATAGGCTCACTGGCCACATGTAATAGATAGACCAACTGGCCACATGTAATAGATAGACTAACTGGCCACATGTAATAGATAGGCTAACTGGCCACATATAATAGATAGGCTCATTGGACACATGTAATAGATAGGCTAATGGGACACATGTAATAGATAGGCTAATTGGACACATGTAATAGATAGGTTAATTGGACACATGTAATAGATAGGCTAATTGGACACATGTAATAGATAGGCTAATTGGACACATGAAATAGATAGGCTAACTGGTCACATGTAATAGATAGGCTAATTGGACACATGAAATAGATAGGCTAATTGGACACATGTAATAGATAGGCTAATTGGACACATGAAATAGATAGGCTAACTGGCCACATTTTATAGATAGGCTAATTGGACACATGAAATAGATAGGCTAACTGGCCACATGTAATAGATAGGCTAATTGACCACGTGTAAAGAATAGATATGCTAATTGGACACATGAAATAGATAGGCTAATTAGCCACATGTAATAGATAGGCTAATTCTTTGAGTGCGTGTCTTGTTTTTTTTTTTAAAATTCCTTCTTATCCTTTTTTTTTTTAAAATACCTTTTTAACCCCCCCCCCCCCCCCCTCCCCAATCCAGGCTGGTCCAGAGGTAAGACGGCGTCATTAGGCGCCATTTATGATGTGGAAGACAGGGTCGTTCAGCTGAGAATGAAGTTGAAAAAATTAGCGCTGAACATCAGCGCTGTCAAAAACACGGAGCAGCGGGTCATGGCGTTCATTGTCAATTTCCTCGTGCGCCGGGAGAAGGCGGCGTCGTCCATGTTCCTGATCTCGACCGAGAACAACAAGAGGATGTACTACGCCAAGAGGCACCTGCACCTCTTCCACTACGAGACGGCCCAGGCCACGTGCGCACTGTTCGACGGCTACCTGGCCGAGATCGGCGACGCGTCCGAGCTGAAGTTCATCACGACCTTCTTGGCGGAGTCCAAAGTGCTGGACGACCGAGCCGTCTACGTGGGCGCCAAACTGGTCGGGACGGCGTGGCAGTACGGGCGAAGCGGCTCCCCCATCGGGGCGTTTCCGTGGGCCGCCGGATTCCCGCAAAATAACAACAAATTGAACTGCGCGTGCCTGCTCAACAGACAGCTGAGACAGTGCACGTGCCCGGAGACGAGTGAGACCGAGAAGGAGAACCCGGGTGGGCGGAGCTTCCTCTGTGAAGTTCATATCGATCCTTGAGGTGAAGGGCAGCATTCGAACCACGCTGCCCCAACAACACAACAACACAACACACATTTCAAATACAACACGCTGCACAATACACATTTCGAATACAACACGCTGCACAATACACATTTCTAATACAACACGCTACACAATACACATTTCGAATACAACACGCTACAAAATGCACATTTCGAATACAACACGCTGCACAAAACACATTTCTAATACAACACGCTACACAATACACATTTCTAATACAACACGCTACAAAATACACATTTCAAATACAACACGCTACACAATACGCATTTCAAATATAACACACAACAAAATACACATTACAAATACAACACACTACAAAATAAGCATGTCAAATATAACACACACAAAAATACACATTTCAAATTAAAACACGCTACACAATACACATTTCTAATACAACACGCTACACAATACACATTTCAAATATAACACACAACAAAATACACATTACAAATACAACACACAATAAAATAAACATTTCAAATATAACACACACAAAAATACACATTTCAAATACAACACAAAACAAAATACACATTTCAAATACAAAACACAACAAAATACACATTTCAAATACAACACTAACAAAATACACATTTCAAATACAACACGCTACACAATACACATTTCAAATACAACACACAACAAAATACACATTTCAAATTAAAACACGCTACACAATACACATTACAAATACAACACACAACAAAATACACATTTCAAATTAAAACACGCTACACAATACACATTACAAATACAACACACAACAAAATACACATTTCAAATACAAATTAAAACACGCTACACAATACACATTACAAATACAACACACAACAAAATACACATTTCAAATTAAAACACGCTACACAATACACATTACAAATACAACACACAACAAAATACACATTTCAAATTAAAACACGCTACACAATACACATTACAAATACAACACACAACAAAATACACATTTCAAATACAACACGCTACACAATACACATTACAAATACAACACTAACAAAATACACATTTCAAATACAACACGCTACACAATACACATTTCAAATACAACACACAACAAAATACACATTTCAAATTAAAACACGCTACACAATACACATTACAAATACAACACACAACAAAATACACATTTCAAATTAAAACACGCTACACAATACACATTACAAATACAACACACAACAAAATACACATTTCAAATTAAAACACGCTACACAATACACATTACAAATACAACACACAACAAAATACACATTTAAAATACAACACGCAATAGAATACACATTTCAAATACAACACGCTACACAATACACATTTCAAATACAACAAAAATAACTAAACACTTTCAAATGATCCTGAAAAAAAATAAAGTTGTAGACTTAAAATAATTCAAAAATAAACCTTTTACACACACACACATGCAAATATGCTTGCAAGCACACACATACACAAAAGCTTTGTTTTTAAAAAAAAGTATATTACACCTAAAAATTATGATTTCAATAAAGGAAATGTAGTATCATTGGATTTAAATTTTATTTGTGAATGCAAAAAAAAAAAAAAAAAAAAAAAAAAAATTGTACTGGCACAGATGGTTGTGACTGGCACAGATTGTTGTGAAATGGTACAGATGGTTGTGACTGGTACAGATGGCTGTGACTGGTACAGATGGTTGTGACAGGAACAGATGGTTGTGACTGGTACAGATGGTTGTGACTGGTACTGATGGTTGTGAGTGGTACAGATGGGATTTACTGGTACGGATGGTTGAGACTGGTACAGAAGGTTGTGACTGGTACAGAAGGCTGTGACTGGTACAGATGGTTGTGACTGGTACAGATGGTTGTGACTGGTACAGATGGTTGTGACTGGTACAGACGGTTTGTGACTGGTACTGACGGTTTGTGACTGGTACAGATAGTTTTTGACTGGTACAGATGGTTGTGACTGGTACTGATGGTTGACTGGCACAGATTGTTGTGAAATGGTACAGATGGTTGTGACTGGTACAGATGGCTGTGACTGGTACAGATGGTTGTGACAGGTACAGATGGTTGTGACTGGTACAGATGGTTGTGACTGGTACTGATGGTTGTGAGTGGTACAGATGGGTGTTACTGGTACGGATGGGTGAGACTGGTACAGAAGGTTGTGACTGGTACAGAAGGTTGTGACTGGTACAGATGGTTGTGACTGGTGCAGATGGTTGTGACTGGTACAGATGGTTGTGACTGGTACAGACGGTTTGTGACTGGTACTGACGGTTTGTGACTGGTACAGATAGTTTTTGACTGGTACAGATGGTTGTGACTGGTACAGATGGTTGTGACTGGTACTTATGGTTGTGACTGGTACTGATGGTTGTGACTGGTACTGATGGTTGTGACTGGTACTGATGGTTGTGACCTTAGAGAGGTACCGACGGTTTGACCAAAAAGAATCGGCCTTACAAATGCAGAATAACTGGGTGGTGGGCAGGCGACTAAAGAGGTCCTCATTCATTCACCAGGTCGTGGAGCTTGAAAGGACAGTTGACCTGCCCCATAATAGAGAAAGGCTGACTCTAATACCATTTAATCCGCCATATGCGGAACCCTCACGTCCCTCCATACATTTGGCCTTGACCGATGCAGCAGTGACGAAACGCAGCCCTGAACATGTTCAGAAAGCGGCTGCCCTTGAGACCATGAATGTGTTCGCGCACATACCTTTGAAAGTATTCACAGACGGCTCTGCCAACTTGAGAGAAAAAATTGCTGGGTATGGTGCGCTCATACTGTACCCAACAGGAGGACCACCAACAGAAGAATTCTCTGGACCCCGTGGGACTGCAGCATCAAACTTCGATGCGGAGCTCATGGCTATACACGGGGCCTCGGAGGGAGAACATGAAACATTGAAGGGGACGGAGCATGCGGGGCTCGATGTAGTCGTCTACTCGGACTCAAGATCTGCTCTCGAGATCTTGGGAACGAGGCAGGGTACCGCCCACTTGGTCGACGTCATCATTGATGACGTGTGCAAAATCGGTGAACTAGGGGGCAAGGTGACAATACAGTGGATACCTGGGCACGTCAACATCAGTGGCAATGAGAGAGCAGACACTCTGGCGAAAACCGGGGCTGCCCAGCCTCAGCCAGAAGTACCAATGACTTTCTTGGGAATTAAAAACTGGCTGGCCGACCATTTCAGGACGAAGTGGTACAGGCAATGGGCAGACAACACGACCGCCAGAGGCGTCTTTTCAAACTTGCCCACTCCTAGCAAACAAGACCCATGGTGGGGGTTAGGCCGCAGACATCAGAGCTTAGTGACGCAGATGCGCACTGAGCACTGCCCCATTGGCACATATTTCTGGCGGCTGGATAACAACAGGGATCCTATGTGCCGGCACTGCAGCCTGGACCCTGAGACTCTAGAGCACCTGTTGAACGAATGTCCCTCACTAGATCTCCCGGGGGAAGCCAGGGTGGTTGGAGGACCTTTTGTGAGGAAAATATTGTATGGCTCAGCTCAACAGATGGAGTTGGTAGCCAATTTACTAGCCGAGGTCTTAAGAGAGTAATCTCAGACCTTCACCAGAATATGTGTGTTAGTTAGGGAACTTCAGCAACCCTGGCCACCAACTCTGATTAAAACATTTAAAATCATTTTCAAAATCTTTCTTTTTGTTTATTTTTTTGTCTCGGAAATTTTTCATTATTTTTATTTACTTTTCAGAACAGCAATCATTTGTATAAAGGTAATAAAAATAAATTAATGGATTCAATTTGTGTAGTAATGAGTCTAACAATACTTAAAATGATAAGGTCTCTCACACTCTCGTCTCGCACACACACACATCTATGGATAAATCTTGAATTTAAGTAAAGACAAATAGAATAGACTATTTTTCGGCTTATGTTCCGTAAAAAGTCTTTCCNNNCCCCCCCCCCAAAAAAAAAATCATATTAATTATATTGACATGCTAAAACATTGAGAATAAATTTAACATACAGAATCTCACTACAAGCACATTCAACACCTGAGTAGCGTGATTGAATGTAGTTCATTACTTTTATTCTAACATAAAGATTTTAGTTTATTGCAAGTAATAAAAATTCAATCTGTATCACCAAAAAAAAAATATATATATATATCTATATATAAAGGTTCACAGCACGTTGGCGACCCCAAGCCGCGCTAAGTCGTATCAACTTTTTTCTCCTTTTCAACTTGAAACAATTTTGCTGCAGACACCCGCTATTTCTAATGCGCACCGTTGTCTGCGCGTTTCTTATGCGCGCCGTTGTCTGCGCCGTTGTCTGCGCCGTTGTCTGCGCCGTTTCCGGGCACGGTATTCAGTCTAGTCGCCGTTGATCATCATGGTAAAGACTTTGTCCAACGCCGCCTGGTGAATGATGTACGTGTCTAATTGCAGCTCCGCCTTCAGCTTCTCCATGGCCGCGAACATCTGGGACAAGGGAGTGGATCCTGGCAGTTGGAAGTTGATGGACAGCTCGATCTTGTTGTAGACCTGGAATAAAACACAGTGTCATGAAGCGGTCTCACTGGGAAACATTTATTAACTGTGATCTTTTGACGATATCGTTTCTTAAATGAAACGTGAATTCGTTATTAATCTCAATATGAAATGTTAATATTAATATATATATATATATATATATATATATATATTATATTATATTATATATACAATGCTTACCAATGCTCCTTTAAATGTAAATTTGACCTTAGCTATGACCTCCTTCTCATGCTCGATCTTCTTCTCCACGTCCCTCCTGATGACCACCGTGAGAGTGTAGCCCTTGACGAATTTGGCTTTGATTTTGGCCGGCGTCCCGATGCACATCAAGTGACCGTGAACTATGACCGCCATTCGCGTGCAGAAGTCCTCGCACTCGTTGAGGCTGTCGGTGCAAAGGGTTATGAAGGAATTGCATCGTCCACAGTAATTATTGGACATGTTGAATTCATACGCATCGCCCCGTTTTGTAATTCCCTTGACATGACACTGTGATCCAATGCATCACGCAATGTATCGCGTAAAAGAAATCTTACCACCTCCCCCCCCCCCCCCCACCCAGTTCTTAAAGATCTCCACTGGCTTCCCGTGGGTGAGCGCATTGACCATGACATTCTGTCACTGGCGTACAGCTGTACAGAAGGCTCCGCACAATAACATCTTCAAGGCCTTATTCCCAAACCTGTATCCCTACAGAACCTGCGCTCTTCAGCGCAGTCCTTACTGAGGATTTCAAGTATGTATGGACACAGAAAGAAGTCACACTGAGTGCGCTCTTTTGAAGCTATTGGGCCTAAATTATGCAACAGTTTGACCCAATCTTTGAGGGAAATTGAAAATGATATAAATCATTTAAGAACCATTTCCAAGATTTTTTTCCTTAAAAAATTTTTCAGTTCGCGGTGAGCATGCTAAAGTAGCATTGACACAAGCGCTATAACAGTATTCAATCATCATCGTCATCATCCTATAGTAAGATAGATTATTACATTTTGAGGAAAGCGAGTTGGGTTTGCGCCATTATTCATTCACCCTCGGCGTCATTGTCGCTTTTTTGGCTCCATCCATTTACTTATCTATGTCTTATCTGAAGTATCATGCTTCTTTCATTCTTTGGATTTAGAGAAATTTAGAATGGAAAAAAAAATATAGATAAAAATAATGTGTTGACAAATTGATCCAACCTTTCAAAGTGATCACCAATACCCTAGAGGAAAAAGGCTCAAAGGCAGACCTAGGCTTAGGTGGATAGATGATGTGGAAAATAATCTACAGCAGTTAAAAGTCCAAGCATGGAAAAGAAAGGCATTACTTAGGTCTGAGTGTAAGGAAGTGGTGAGGCAGGCCAAAGCCCTACATGAGCTGTAGCGCCACAGGGATGGATGGATTTCAAATTGATCCCAGCTTTCAAATTGATCCCACCTTTCAAATTGATCCCCCCTTTCAAAGTGATCCCACCTTTCAAATTGATCACACCTTTCAAAGTGATCCCACTCTTCAAATGGACCCCACTTTTCAAAGTGACCCCACCTTTCAAAGTGATCCCACCTTTCAAAGTGATCCCACCTTTCAAAATGATCCTACCTTTCAAAGTGATCCAACCTTTCAAAGTGATCCCACCTACTAATGTTCTAAACACGTGCACCAAAAAGACATAAATGATAAAGCCTTATCTGTAGCATGCCCCCCTTAAAGACATCACCCAATAATGACCCCCCCTAAAGACATCGATAGATGCTGACCAACCTAATAGGTATCGACACAAGCTGACCCACCTTATATACATCGCCCTATGCCGACCCACCTTATAGACATCACTATATACTGACCCACATTATAGACATCGCCATATACTGACCCGCCTTAAAGACAGCACCTTATACAGACCCACCTTAAAGACAGCACCATATACCGACCCACCTTTATAGATGTCGCCATATAATGACCCCCCTTATAGACACCGCCCATACACCGACCCACCTCAAAGACATCACCATATACCAACCCACCTTTTGGTAGTCACCAGTATGCTGTGCCCTTCGTCTCTCAGTTTGGTTAAAAGTTTCCATATCTGCCGGCTGGTGGCCACGTCTAGTCCCAGCGTCGGCTCGTCCATGAGCAACACTTTGGGGTGACCCATCAGGGCCATCCCGACACTCATCTTCCTTTTGGAGGCGTGGCTGTAAAGGGGGGGGGGGGGGGATGTTGTTAAACTTATTTTTTAAAAAATTAAGCCTATTAATACTAAAAAGTGGGGGGGGGGGGGTGCGGAGTAATTTTTGTATGACCCAAGTTGTCACTTTGTCCGTAAAAAAATAATAACCTTAAAAGCATTATACATTTTTGATGTACCTTCAAAAATATTCAAATAAGTATAAATTAAATTTTAATTTATTCTTATATAAATGTTTTGTTGTTGTACCAATGAAGGCATTAATTTACCGAAACGTTTGAATTTTGTATTTTGTGTAGTAGTAATTGATGACAACATCAATACAAACAACCACAAATTTGAGAGTGTGGCTACATTCCAATATCTAGGGACAACTCTAAAGGAGCACAATGAAATAATGTCGGTGGTAAAAGAAGGGATAACAGCAGGCAACCGTTCTTATTTCAGTCTACACAAGCTACTGGGAAACAAAAACTTATCAAGGGGAACAAAGAAGACAATATACACCACCATCATAAGACCTGTAGTAACTTACGTTAGTGAGACTAGGACCCTTACTAGAAAAAAAAAGCAGAAAACCTTCTCAATACATGGGAGACGAAATGCCTCAGAAAAATATGCGGCCCACTGATGGCAAATGATGTCAGGAGAATCCATACAAACCAAGAGCTATACAAATTGTACAAAGACCCATCCATAGTCGCAACAATTTAAAAAAAAGTCAGACTGCGCTGGGCAGGACATATTGAAAGGATGTTGGAATATAGAGCAGCAAAAGTGATATGCAGGCAGAAACCAAGGGACAGAGGACTCACCGGTCGCCCAAGGCTGAGATGGATCGACCATGCAGAGAAAGATTTCCCCCAGTTGGGGGTTCGCGCATGGAGGCGGAAAGCCATGTATCGTTCCGAATGGAAGGGTGTGATGGAGCAGGACTGTAGCGCCAGCTATGATGATAATGATGTTGATGATGTGGTAGTAATAATTAGAGCTTAACATATGTTGTTTTATTTACACTAATTCTTTGTGTCTCATTAATCGACACAATTTCAGTCCGGATTAGCTCAAATTTTTCCGAATTGACCCCATAGGGCTGTCGCTTGACCAGATCTGCAAAGCCATTATCACCATCTTGTACGGCCATGTTTTGTCTTATGAGTTACACCAGGGAAACAGTAAAAACAGTATCCGCAATAACTGACTTAACAATAAACTTTTCTTCTCTCAATTGGTCAGTGTTTCTGGGCTTTTTAAAAAGTTTGTAATGACGAGCTTTGTCTAGGACGCTATCAAAAGCTTCTCTAAAATTGTCTTTAGGTACGGATATTACAGCTGAGATTGTGTTAACATTGATATCCGAGGAATGACAATTTGTATCACAATTCCTTTCAACAAATCCTTCCAAAAAGTTCATGTGACATTATAACTGTTTACCTCTTTTACGATCTGGTGTTAATGATATAATATACGTCATTAATTTTTGGACTTAACTTCATAAGGACCAAAATATCAAACCTGCAGACCTTGTCCTAGTATAGACATAAGCTCAATCACTTTGTCCACTGAAGCAACCTGTCTGAATTTGGCCTTTTTTGGTCTGAATTTGGCCTTTTTTTGTCTGAATTTGTCCTTTTTTGGGTCTGAATTTTGCCTTTTTGGTCTGAATTTGGCCTTTTTTGGGATCTGAATTTGGCCTTTTTTTATCGTAACAAACTTTTTTATTTTATTTGGGTGTCATTTAAATTGGTATTAGCCAAATTACAGACATTCAAAGTTTCGTTCTAAACTTTAAGTTATAGTACGAAATCCCTTTAGTGGATCAGTGGGTGTGTTGGTGACACCCATAATCAGTGGCTGTGTCGGTGACACCCATAATCAGTGGCTGTGTCGGTGACACCCATAATCAGTGGCTGTGTCGGTGACACCCATAATCAGTGGGTGTGTCGGTGACACCCATAATCAGTGGGTGTGTCGGTGACACCCATAATCAGTGGGTGTGTCGGTGACACCCATAATCAGTGGGTGTGTCGGTGACACCCATAATCAGTGGGTGTGTCGGTGACACCCATAATCAGTGGGTGTGTCGGTGACACCCATAATCAGTGGGTGTGTCGGTGACACCCATAATCAGTGGGTGTGTCGGTGACACCCATAATCAGTGGGTGTGTCGGTGACACCCATAATCAGTGGGTGTGTCGGTGACACCCATACCGTTTTACCTGCGACTGCACGCACCTGTACTTATGGGTCATCACGTTAGCATCGACGGTCAGGTTCAGCTCCGTGATGATCTTGTCGACGGCCTCGTCGATGGTCTTGTCGTTGAGGCCCCTCAGGCGGCCGAACAGGTAGAGCGTCTCCCGGCCGGTCAAGCGGCCGTGCATGGCGTTCTTCTGCAAGCTCAGTCCCATCACGCAGTTGGCCTGGAAGAGGGGGTACGGGAGAGGATGGGACTCGCGAAAACCGTTTCTCTTGTGAGAATTCTGTGTCTGGTGTTTCTTTGACGTTAGTGAATCAAACTTATAGATAAGATAGCATAGTGTACGTAGGTATGAGCACATACAAAATATATATATATATTTTTTTTTTTTGCTCAGTGGCGTCTGTCGTCTGTCGCCTGTCGTCTGTCGCCTGTCGTCTGTCGCCTGCCGCCTGTCGTCTGTCGTCTGTCGCCTGTCGCCGAGTAGCATGCATCGTGCCGAGCTATCAAAATATAGTCGTAACTATTTGCCGGTCAACAGAAAAGTTGTAAAGAATCGCAGATTGCTTACATTTCTCACGTCATTTTTTATGCTGCAGCCGTGTAGATAGGCCGTGCCGGACGTGATGACGGCGCCACCAGACAGTATCTTCAGCAGCGTCGATTTCCCGGAGCCACCCGGGCCCACTAAGCCGAAGATCTCCTTGGGCTGAATGGCGAAACTGGTGGGGTCCAGAACGCAGACGGTCTTGCAGGACGAACATCGGCAGTATTTTTTACTTACGTTGATCAGTAAAACAGGATCTGGAAGAAAAGCGAGGCCTGTGTTGGTTGTACTATCGCTATATAGGGCAGGGCCATCGCAGGCAAAAAGTTGAGCCCGGGGTAAATCCTGAAAGTTAGACGCCATCTTCCGCAAAAAGTATAAGGGTATTAATGCACATAATTTTGTATGAAAAAAAATAAAATTTATTCGCCCTCCCAAAATGGCGCCCGGCTGCGTCCCCCAGAGTTGTCACATGGGTCCTGGAACCCAAGCCCCTGTAAGGGGGGGGGGGGCTCGGCTGTTAAGAGGCCCAAATTTTTTATGTAAATACTTTAAAAGAAATTATACACCCATTTTAAATAGGTCGAATTTTCCATCTTTCACCAGACGTGCTGATCTAGAGATCGTCACGTGACAAGCGGAGGCCATCATTTCACAAGTTTTTTTCCGAAAAAAATGTGGTTTGGGGGGGGGGGCAATAACAAATCTTGGCCAGCTTGTTGAATTGTTTATTTCGTCACTAAATAGAAAATAGGAATTATTTATCAAATTAGGACCATCATTTCACAAGTTTTTTTCCGAAAAAAATGTGGTTTGGGGGGGGGGGGCAAAAACAAATCTTGGCCAGCTTGTTGAATTGTTTATTTCGTCACTAAATAGAAAATAGGAATTATTTATCAAATTAGGTTTTGATGTATTTAGTTATATTTGCTACAGTGCAACCTTTAAGCGATGTGAAAAAAATCTATATTTAGACAGTCTAGCACTGCAACGATTTGCTTAACAAAACCCAAAGGATATCATCTGTGGAAAGCGCAACTTCAATCCGGGCTTCTGTATATAGATGCAGAGATGATGGCCAGAACGCGGCCTGTGTATTCGCAACAAATGGGCGCAACAGATTTGTGGGTGTATGGTGGGACAGCGATGAGACCAACGTCTCTAGGCACCAGCAGTTGGCGACACACTCATAGACCCCGAAGGAGCAGGGGAGGTCAAAGGAAATACAAGGCCGCGCACGATGGACCGGAAGGGGTTTGAATGACGCCTTGAAACCCCCACTGATCTTGACAGCGAGACGCCGACTGTAGTGGACACAAACAGGGCTCAGTAGCCCCGCCGTGTTGGAACCCATCACAGCGGTCATTGCTGTTTGTCCGTTGGAACCCATCACAGCGGTCATTGCTGTTTGTCCGTTGGAACCCATCGCAGCGGTCATTGCTGTATGTCCGTTGGAACCCATCACAGCGGTCATTGCTGTTTGTCCGTTGGAACCCATCGCAGCGGTCATTGCTGTTTGTCCGTTGGAACCCATCGCAGCGGTCATTGCTGTTTGTCCGTTGGAACCCATCGCAGCGGTCATTGCTGTTTGTCCGTTGGAACCCATCACAGCGGTCATTGCTGTTTGTCCGTTGGAACCCATCGCAGCGGTCATTGCTGTTTGTCCGTTGGAACCCATCACAGCGGTCATTGCTGTTTGTCCGTTGGAACCCATCGCAGCGGTCATTGTTGTTTGTCCGTTGGGACCCATCGCAGCGGTCATTGCTGTTTGTCCGTTGGAACCCATCGCAGCGGTCATTGCTGTTTGTCCGTTGGAACCCATCACAGCGGTCATGGCTGTTTGTCCGTCGGAACCCATCGCAGCGGTCATTGTTGTTTGTCCGTTGGGACCCATCGCAGCGGTCATTGCTGTTTGTCCGTTGGGACCCATCGCAGCGGTCATTGCTGTTTGTCCGTTGGAACCCATCACAGCGGTCATGGTCTATGTCCGTTGCTGACACTAAATCGGTGGTCGGTAAACTCAGTAGTCAAAACAGCCAAAAAAGAAAAATCAACAGCAGGGCGTTTTTTAAAACTAAAAATGTTGAGAGCCAAATTTCTTATCAAGAGCCATGTTTTTCAGAGTCAGACCCGACTTCTGGCCCACTGGCGGAGCCGCAGTCCTGTCTTTAAGGCTGTGATTTGCCGATCACTGCACTCAATGGATGGAGGTGTTCGCGAGGGGCAAAGGGCGCCCTGTTCATCCTCAAGTAAACCGTTCAATAATTTCAAAGGTACACTCTTTACCTTTACGCAAAATAAACCATCGACATTGCATGAAGGTTGCCCTTACCCACAATTGTCAGGGGGCCTCCAAAAGTCAAGCGACGGCTCTGGATACCCCCTCCCCCCACCCGCCCCTTCCCCCAACCACCCCTCCCCTAACCACCCCTCCCCAACCCGACCCACCCTCCAAAAATTTTTTAATTAAACTTTAAAAAAAATAATAAAACATAAATCGTTTCTAAATGGCTCAATGTCTCAAACATATTTTTTGAATTAAATAAAATTATTTCCCAATGTCTAGTTCAGTTTAGATGATGTGTCACACGCTGTTGTATTGTTGGGTTTAAAGTTGTTTAGAGGGGAATTTTTAAAAGGGCGCTCTACTGACGGCCTACTTTGCAATGTAGCTCCCCCGCACGGTCTCTGGATATAAATGACTATTTTAAACATAAATGACTATATTTTAAACATAAATTACTATTTTAAACATAAATGACTACTTTGAACAAAAATGAATCTATTTCAAACATAAATGAATCTATTTTAAACATAAACGAATCTATTTTAAACATAAATGACTATTTGAAACGGAAATGACTATTTTAAACATAAATTAATCTATTTTTAAGCATAAATGACTCTATTTCAAACGTAAATGTCTCTATTTTAAACGTCCAAGTCTTTTATTTTGTATGTTTTACTTGAAGTGCTCACCACTTATTTTTTTTAAATTTTTAAATTCAACATAAACAGTTTGTAGCTACACACAGTGACAACGACAGATTATGTAAAAAATGAACAGTTCATTGCGTCACATAAACAGTTTAAGCTGACACAGTCACAACTACAAGTGTGCAATAAACGTTTCAATGTCACGCATGCCGACAAACGACAAATACAAAAATAAACAGTTTAAGTTTACACAAAGAGTGACAACTAGAAATACAAAAAAAAAACAGTTTAAGTTTACACATAGAGTGACAACTACAAATATAAAAATAAACAGTTTAAGTTTACACATAGAGTGACAACTACAAATATAAAAATAAACAGCTTCAGTTTACACATAGAGTGAAAACTACAAATATAGAAATAACAGTTTAAGTTTACACATAGAGTGACAACTACAAATACAAAAAAAACAGTTTAAGTTTACACATAGAGTGACAACTACAAATATAAAAATAAACAGTTTAAGTTTACACATAGAGTGACAACTACAAATATAAAAATAAACAGTTTAAGTTTACACATAGAGTGACAACTACAAATATAAAAATAAACAGTTTAAGTTTACACATAGAGTGACAACTACAAATATAAAAATAAACAGTTTAAGTTTACACATAGAGTGACAACTACAAATATA